AAACAAATATATACCTGGAAAAATAAATGGATTCGTAGGTAGACTCATGAAAATATTAATTGATAAATAGAGGACCACCGCTTTGGAAGAAAGGCAGGGAAATCGGATTTGATTGGATGTTTAGATAAAATAATCGATGGTCACAAAATTGAGAAAATAGATGTATAAATATATTGTTTGATAAATATCTGAATTGAAAGATAGACGACCTCAGAGGTTTAAAATAGGTAGATAAATATATGGTTAGATATGTTAGATAAAATGGATGGACAATGGGAATGTAGATAGATAAATATATGGTCGGACTGAATAGAGGAATGGATTCCTGGATGGACTAGAGTTTGGAAATATATACACATAAATATCTGGTTTGGTAAATAGATGAATTGATAGAGGACTACAGAGTTATAAAATAGGTAGAGAAATATATAGTTGGATAAGTTAGATAAAGTGATCGATGGAAAAAAGCACAGTTCGGAAAAAACATTCATAAATATATGGTATGGGGAAATGGATAATTCAATAGTGAGATAGACAAAGAGTTAGAAAAATAGATAGATAAATATATATTTTGTTTGACAAATAGATTAATTGATAGATAGACGACCACAGATTTACAAAAATTAGAAGTTAAATATGCGGCTGGATGAATGGATAATTCGATAGAGAGATAGACAAAGAGTTAGAAAATTAGATAGATAAATTTCTATTTTGTTTGACAAATAGATTAGATGATACCTAGACGATTACAGAGTTATAAAAATAGGACGTTAAATATGTAGTTGGATGAATGGATAATTCGATAGAAAGATAGAGAGTTAGAAAAATAGATAGATAAATATATATTTTGTTTAACAAATAGATTATTGATAGATAGACGATCACAGAGTTATAAAAATAAGACGTTAAATATGTAGTTGGATGAATGGATAATTCGATAGAGAGATAGACAAAGAGTTAGAAAAATAGATGGATAAATATATAATTTAGTTTGACAAATAGATTAATTGATAGATGGACGACCAAAGATTTATAAAAATAAGAAGTTAAATATGTGATTGGATGAATGGATATTTCGATAGAGAGATAGACAGAGAGTTAGGAAAACAGATAGATAAATATATATTTTGTTTGACAGATAGATTATTGATAGATAGACGACCACAGATTTATAACAAATAAGAAATTAAATATGTAGTTGGATGAATGGATAATTCAATAGAGAGATAGACAGACAGTTAGAAAAGCAGATAAATATCATAAAAAATCAAGAATAGAATTTGAAAAATGTGTAGATAAATATGTGGTTTTGCTCTGATGATGGCTTTAGAATAGGTCGAAAGCTTGGCAGTAATAATTGAATTTTTGTTTCATCAAGTCGTAAACTATTAGTGTTAAAAAATATATACATTATATGTTGTCAAATATTAAAAAAAAAGATTATTGCAAGTTTTATATATTTCTTTTATTTTTCGTTTTGTTATGCTTAATAATTACAAAACCAATTAAGATCAATTGAGTTGTGAGGTTATTTTCTTTGTTAAGGGTACAATTTCTGGTAGGATTTTGATTTTTTTTGGAAAACAGCTACTACTTTTTCCAGGCCGCAGGATTATCAAGGGTGAAATCATTTTTCACAACGATAGGACTCGAGGGGCGATTGTGAAAACGTTTTATCGCGACAAATCGACGCGGAGTGTTGTGTTTTTCATTTTCCGAACGTAGCGCGATAGCCTGGTACGGAATTCATCCCTGGCCCAGATGATAAACGGGTTCCGCACCCTATTTCCTACTTCTTTCTCACCCTTTCTACCCATTCGCGCTTCCACCGGCTCGCAGAGATTAGCATAATGAATCGCGGAAGCGGTGTTAAACATGTGGCCCGGTATTCCGGCCGATACCCTCCTCCCCTGATTAACCCTTGTCCTATGTGTGTTGATTAATTAGGTTTCCAATGTTGCAAATGTTTCATTATATGACGAATGCAAACACCAATTGGAATGTTCATGTCTAACGATAGCCTTCACCTATTAAAGAAAAACCAATCTAACAAACATCCTACACATTAACGCGTTTGTTTAACACCGGCCACCGTAATAATTAAAAAAACTTTAAGTTTATATACAGATAATATCAGTATGCAGATAATGCAATAATAATATAATAATAATAATAATAATAACGAATTGCGAGAACAAAATTGTAAACAAGTATCAACTGATTGTGAAGGTTTGTTTGTAGGACAGGAAAACATAGATTAATTGTTATGTGTACTTTCAATAGACCGTCCTTGTACTTCAGTCTTAGAAAATCAACGAATTATGTGATTGAAGGGATAGGTAAAGAGATAAATAAAGAGTATAAAGGTAAAGACATAAAGAAAATGATAAATAGATAAATAGAGCGAGAGTGAGTGTGTGAGCGAGCGAGAGAAAGAGAGAGAGAGAGCAAGAGGGAGAAAGAAAAAGAGCGAGAGAGAAAAAAGAGAAAGAAAGAGAGAGAGAGAGAGAGTAAGAGATAGAAAGTGAGAGAGTAATAACCTCCCTGAATCAGTGTTGTCCCCAGTGTTGCCTTATTTTACATTCTTAAAAACAAATTATAAAAATGGGAGTTCAGAGATGAAGCCTGAGAGAGAGAGAGAGAGAGAGAGAGAGAGAGAGAGAGAGAGAGAGAGAGAGAGNGAGAAGAATAACCTCCCGGAATCAGAGTTGTCCCCAGTGTTGCCCTATTTTACGTTCTTAAAAACAAATGATAAAAATGGGAGATCAGAGACGAAGCCTGAGAAAGAGAGAGAGAGAGAGAGAGAGAGAGAGAGAGAGAGAGAGAGACCGAGAGTAATAACCTCCCGGAATCAGAGTTGTCCCCAGTGTTACCCTATTTTACGTTCTTAAAAACAAATGATAAAAATGGGAGATCAGAGATGAAGCCTGAGAGAGAGAGAGAGAGAGAGAGAGAGAGAGAGAGAGAGAGAGAGAGAGAGGGAGTGAGAGAGAGATAGACTGTAAATAACCTTTTGGGGGAGAAAGAAAAGAAAGAGAGATCGGATAGAGAAAGAAAAAGTTATTAGCAAAAGAAGAAGAAATAAAGGAAAGTAGGTAAGAAGGAGTGAATAAGTAAGAGAAGGTTGGTGAAAGAACGAGAGTATGTGACCTTTTTTATGTGATGCAGTTATCACGTTTTACTCTTTTATGAGCAATATTACACAAGAACAAAAAAAAATTGTTGTAGAATTTCCTACGCACTTTAAAATTCTGGGATTTCATGAGCCCCTTCAGGTATTAATTGTGTTTTACCCGCTGCCCGTTGTGACGAAGTTTAGAAGTGGAGACAGTGTTCAGGACTTCAATTGGAGCAACTCTTTGTCCGTCTTGAGATAAGCCTCCGACAGAGTACGGGCTCTGTTCCGCCCTCGGCATTAAATAATTACAGGCCTCGGTAATAACTCCCATTCAGAGATAACCCGGCTATAATCTACTTTTCAGTTTATGTTTGATTTATTTCCGCGGACTGAGAAGTTTTAGGCGGGAGGGCTTAAGCAGGAATCTCCCGCGATTTACAAAAACTTGTAAAATTTAACTCTGGCATGTAGTAATCAATATATTGTTTTTTTTGCCGGTAAAGGGTTTACCCTTATTTTTAAAACTTAGAAGGAACAATTAATAGGAAATGAAGAGTCTGTAAAAATAAATAAATACATTTTTTTAAAGTTGCTTGGCTGAGAAAAAACAATCAAACCTGTTAAATAAAAGTAGATGGGTTATCGCAAAAAAACCTTTTACATGCAAGTTAGGGAATGTATGACTAATAATTATGGCTAACAAAATTTTCCTAAGTTACTTTTAATTCGATAAGAATTTGAATTTTGCAAAAAATTATCAATTTTTCAAATAGAATTTTTTTCACGTAAAACTTTATTTTTTAAATTCTTTATCCATAACTCTTTGAACTCATCTCTTTAATAATTATAAACATAACTCTTTGAACCGATCTCTTTAATAATTATAAAGATAATTATAATATTCCAAGGAAAATGGATAAAAAATTGTCTAAAAATGTTTTTTTTTGAGAAGCAAAAAAAGTTTTCGCCCCAAAATTAAATCACGTTTATATGGAATATGCAACATTAATATGATGCGGAAAAATCTCCAGGGAAGAGTTTTTGATTTAAATTATTTGTTTGAATTCAGTCAGATTCAGGGCATTATTGAACCTTTTTTACTTCTATTAAATATAAGAAATAATTTATCCTAAATTAAACTTTAAACATTAAAATAGTTGAGGAAAAAATGACAAAAACACTCCAGGCATGATAGGAAAATATAAGGATACTAAAATCAAGGGTAGGCGCAAGAACATGAGTTCATTAAATAAATAAGACAATAAGAATATTCATGTACACGTATACAGAACACATATTTCCTTTTATGTTCATTATTTTTCAAGCACTAGTGTTCTTTTCTAATATAAATAAAAAATTTATGCACCGATGGTGTATCATCAGCCAAGAGAGCCAGATCAGCAATAGTTTTTAGCTTTCAAAGGTCGTTTATAAAGATGGTAAATATGGTTGGTCCAAGAACAAACCCTTGGGGGTCCCCAGCTTTTGTACTTCTTAACAGTGTCATTAGGCAATTAAAATGTACAAAGAATTTCTTTTTGGTTATATAATGACTAATTAAATATGTCAGGGAATATAAACGATATATATATATTGTATATATTTATATATTTTAGTTTGAACAAACCATTCTGTAGGACCTTGAAGTTTCGCTAGATCAAAATTTGGGCCTTTGAATCGTGTCCCACTTTTTGTTCTATTTTGTTCTTTTATATCCTATATTTTACTAGAAAATCTTTGCTCTTTTGTAGATCTCGACTGAATTGTACTTCTAATATGTATAATAAAGTAGAAAATGCAGCGTAAAGGAAGAAGTTACAAGAGGTAAGTTAATGGGACTGTTTTGTGTTAGGTCTTATTTTTTTAAATTGTGAGTACTTACACGAAAGAAGGTCATTGTAGAACCGCCTTCCAATGTTCCGTAGGCGATGTCGGTCTGTTCCGAGAGATCCGCCGCGCTCTCGATCGGGGTGATCATCCGTTCGACAGTCAGAAAGGCAGCGAGGTTGGCAGTGTAAGAGCTTATGATAATCAGGGTGAAAAACCACCAAATCCCACCGACGATCCTCGTCGACGTGGCCTGTACAATACAAATCAGTTAGTACTGAAATTGTTTTTGAATTGTGTTCGAGAAAATTTAGTGCGTATAAGCCTATGCTAATAAACACGTTCTTTTTACTGATTTTTGTGTTGTTAAAGCAAAAAAGTGCGACAAACTGTGATTATGATGATGCAAACGTCTATATGATGGCAGCTACGCATATTTGTGCGGCCGATTTATCCTGGTGCATGTCTCCAGGCTCGATGTTCCTACTTTATTACGTTTATTAGAGTTGATGCTGCTGGAAGAATGCCACAGATCTTGTTAGTAGAGATTCTTCATTCATGTCCTTTCTTGGCCGCCCATTCCTCGTCACTCGGGGCGATAAATTTGCAGTCACACCTCCTGGCAACTCTCCCGTCTATGAAGTTACATGACCCGTCTCTGTCTTATATTGTGATTAACTCGTGATTATAATTGTGTTACAACCGTTGTTGAGGGGGTATTGATCACTCTTGAAACCTGGCTCTTGGCCATCTTTTATTTTTTTCTTTAGTCGACACAAGAAGGGGTTCACTGTACCTTTTGAAACGAGGACTTATTTCTTTTGAAAAATCTTCAGGGTCTGGGATTTTGTAAACACTGTTTAAATTATACAAATACAAGTAACATGTGAAAATGAATTTATACAATTATGTTCACACAATAGATAGATAATTTTTTGCAGAATTAGACTATGTAGAATTGTTAGATTTTTGGAGTGTAATGATTGTTTTATATGTTGTATGTATGTTTTGTGTATTATTGATATCGAATTTGATTAATGATATTAGCGTAGCTTCGACTCATTTTATATGGGTCTGTTCTGGAATTAATGCTGTGTTTATCTGTGTTGATGTAAACCGTTTATAAAAAATTACCTTTAACTTTTATCTAAACGTTTATCAATTAAGTTCGAAACGGCACGACAACGAAAATGTTTTTCTAAACCTACATCTTCCCAGACTGCATCTCACGATTTCTAAATAATCATTGAAAAAAGGTTCAATTTCTGTAAAAATGTTGACAATCAGACCATGGTTTTTTGTTGCAATTGAGGTGTAGAAGTACCGGACGAAATTTTTCATACGAGTAATGAATCACGTATTAATTGCAAACGATACTAAACCCGCACAACTTGTGACTGTTGCGGAAGTGTAGGTCTTTAACGCCGTAAAGATAAATCCAAACTATATGAAAACCTTTCTTTTTTTCGAACTCTCTTTTTTAAATAATTTTTTAATGCATGTAACAAAATTTAAGTTCTTTAAGGTATGTTACTGTTTACTTTAAAAGTAGTATGGAGTTTGAAAATAAAGAAGGTTAAATTCAACAGATTTAGGATTATATGATGTGAATATGAATTTTACAATTATGCACACGATATAGAAATTTTAGGTTTATTCAAAGTATTTGTACTCACTCAAATTGTGTGCTTTCTTTGAAGATGTGCCACCGTTGTGTGTTGAGAGGGTTAATGAGATATTCATGTTTTTTTGCTTACATATGATTGAGAAGAGAAAAACTAGTATATTTGCCTAAATATTTACATATATACAGATTGCAACCTGCTCTTTTTTCATTTGGGTTAGAAGTGCGAAAGACACAGGGCTTATTAACCTTCTGCAACCTTAACAATGTAATAACTTTTTCTTTTTTAGTATGTTACTGCGTTTGCGGTGAAAAACTGATTATAAAAAAACCCGCTGTCACTTTTGATTCATGGTAATAATTTTAAATTATGTGAACAATTTGAGTGTGAATCATCTTTTTGACAGTTAATAAAGTTTAAATAACTTATATGTACATAGTTATAAATTAAGTATAAACATTATATATATAATTTAAAAAGTAAAATATATAAATAGGTTGAATAAATAGTATAAATAAATAGAATAAATAAATATGTACATACATTCACACATAAATAGGTGATAGATGGTGCACATGTACCCACGTGTATTCATATTCTAAAAGTAAATAAATAATTAAACAGGTAAGTAAATGTAACGTGTGGACATATGTATGTTCAAATGTACATGTATCTATACTACAATAATAAATAAATAAATAAATAAATACATTTACATAAATATGATTGATTTTGAAGGACTGGGGAAGGAAGTAGGGATAGAAATTGATTTTTCTGTGAGGAGTCGACTTCTTTGAGGTGAAAAGGTCCGACAACAAAAAAGGATAATTGTTTGTCGTTCATGCCTAGTTATCCTTTCAGGATTATTATTACGGGGATTATTAGGGAAAGAAGAGATAAATTGTTGGGGATTTAGACTAAGTAGAATTGTTTGATGTGTGGTGTGTAGTGATCGTTTTATATGTTGTATTATATGTTTTGTGTGTTATTGATATCAAATTTGGTTTATGATATTAGCGCACCTGCAGTTGAGTTTATATGTGTCTGTTTTGTAATTGAAGCTGTGTTTATCTCTGTTAATGTAAACCATTTCTAAAAGGTTACGTTTTTGTTTTGTTCTGTGTTTAATATTTTTGGATTGTTGAAATCGAAATTGTATTGATGTTCAAAATAGTGGGTAGCCAGTACTGTAATTTATTTTTTGCAAACCTAGATATGATGTTTTACCCTCTTATCCTTCGGGATATAATTCCAACATAAGTTGCGGGCAATTTAATCAACTGATTTTTTAAATTACATCAGATTTATTTGTTACAGGTTGGGATCTTCAATTTTGGAAAAAAGAGTGTGAATAGTTTTATAATTTGTGAAAGCTATTATAAAGTTGTCGGACGAGAGAAATGTGTTTAATTTATGTGATAGGCCGTGAATTAATGGCATGGAAACGCTGGTTTGTTTGTATTTGATAGATTTGTTGTGTTATTATTAGTAATAGTGGATAGTGTTAGTGTTGAGTTATTGATTATTCTGTTGATTATGTGTTTAGGGTAGTGATTGTTATGGAGGATATGTTTGTATATTTTTATGTTCTTGTGGTGAAAAGTTTTATGGCTCAGGGTAATAATTCTGTGAAGTAGCCCTTTGCCTGTGTTTATTATTGTATGAAGAGGATGGTATGATGTAAAGTTGAGGTAACGATTTGTGTTTCTCGGTTTTTAATACCAATCTGTGATTTATGTGCAACCCGGATGAGTGAAAACAAATCCTTTGATTAAACCTAAAATTTCTGTACTGTATACATCATTGTATAATTTCATTTTCACATCTTACATGTATTAGTATAATTTAAAAAATGATTATAAATCCCAAGCCCTGAAGATGATCTCAATAAAGCCCGAAACGTTGGCATGATAAAGAAAATCTTTTTCTAAACCTACATCACACCAGACCGCATCTCACGGTCTCTAAACAGTTAAAATTTTTGTATTAAATTTTTACAGAAATGTAATATATTTTAATTAACTAAAACTCAGTGGAATTTTATGCCAATATGTGAAATTTCTGTTTTAATTCATAGATGCATTTTTCGACATGGAAAGCATATCAAATAAAAGTTTTGATAATTTCCCCTTGACATCAGGTTGTCAAGTCAAGTCATGATGTTCTTTTAAGCAACAAAAATTATATTTTACCTCCACAAGTACATCTATAAAGTTTTAATTTGTTTCGGAAAATACTGTCATCATTCATTAAGAACTTGATTACAGGGGAAGGAAAACTTGTATTACGAAGACGGTTAAACGTGAGTGGCATAGTCTTACACATTTTCCTAAACATAACACAAGGCAAACTTCAAATAATTTACAAATTGACATGCGAAATTTTAATAAGTAACCTAAACTAAGGGTAAAGTTAAGAATTAAATCATAAGATGACGCTTACCTTGTGCTCGATCTTCCTCGTAGGACTTAATTATCTTAAATTAATGAAAAATATATTTACAGTGGAATAAATACCTTTTTGTAAGCAGTTCACTTTGACAAACCTAGCATGATTAATAATAAATCATTAAAACAATCGGGCTTACTAGGGAATGACTTTTATTTATTTATTGGTTTTTATTTTATTTATTGATTTTTTTTAAAGGGGTATACGATAGCTTGGTCATTTCAGCCTCAAGCGCAGGCGAAATACAACAGTCATTCATTATGCACTCCCACAAATAAATACATTCACACCTACGTGCATTCATTGTATTTAGTAGTTGGAGTACTCAATATTCCTCCGTCAACCTGCGTAAAATAAATAAATCTAATTAGGATTGATGGGGTACTTTTATAAATAATCTGCACAACTCGAGGACGATGGGGATGCTATTTCACCATCAGCCTTTCCCCCATTCGCTCTAATAAATACATTCACTCATACAAAACAGGACCACAAAAAACATATTTTGACGGCTATATACAATAAAAAATTCTCCTACAAAGCAGAACAGGGGATTCCGAAACTCGCTACCGAGTCCGAGAACTCTTCTTAAAACCGGCGACCTACACGCTCTCTGTATGGAGCCAAGACATGGCACGCCTGCATTATGTGTGAAACATCGAGAACCTTTCTTTGCATTTTTTGGAATCTTATTTGGTCCAATAATATGTTAAAATTTTGGTTCAAAATTACATTGAACAAGCCTAAATAACAATATTACAAATTTTTGTACGATTTCGTCTCAATTTTTTAGATTGTCCAGCACTCCGTCCGGATCTTAAAAACCATTGAAAATTTATAAGAAAATAATATCTCTTTTTGTACGGAGGTTCGCAACATGCAGTCATATCAACACTCCATGAGCTGTGGTTTTGAAAATAAGCTCATTTTTAAGTATGTCGGATTTGAATGCAGGGCCGGTGGATTCGAACTCGGGACCTTTACCTTACAACTTACGTCTAAACCGTGGGGGACACCAACGCGTCTATGTTATTGTTATACATATTAAAAAAAAGTGTTTAGAGAGCAAAATAGACGTAACTTGTGGGGTTTTGAGGGGTGGGAAAATAAATTCTTTTGTTTACTTGAATGTGTCTTAGGAGAATTTAATAAAATTAAGGGTCTGACGCAAGCAACGATTAAGTTTTGAATATAAAAGTCCGCTTTCAAATATAAAATTAGAATTTAATTGTCAGTTGTGGCGGCGGGGGTGGAGGTCTGACGGCGGCGACCGTCGCACAGCTTTGGCACCATGCCGATCCCGTGCAACGAAGCCCGATCAATGGCTATTTTGTTTTGCTTCTTTAGCCCTATCGTCTTATCGCGCTTGATTAAGTAACCCCAGTTTTTTGTCTTTTTATCTGAGCCAACAAATTTGAAGCTTTTTGTCTCATTAGCACCCGTCGGCTAAAAAAAACCCTAACACAATTTTATCTCATTTAACCCAACTCGACGAGTTAATTTTGCCAGCAAATATGTAGGATAATGAAAACTGAGTTTATATAAATAAATTGAAAATCTTTTGATAAACTTTTAAAAGAAATCGGCTTTTTGCCTCGGTACGATGGACCTTTCCCTCCTCTTCAAGCCGGCCACATAGCACCAAATGCGCCCAATTCAAACTTAATTTGTTTGTTGTTGTCGTTCATCGTTTTTATCTGTGTGAGATTGTAGGTTGTAGCATGTTTCCCTACTTAAGAGGCTTTTTAGAAATCTTTTAACGTGTGTTCCGTACAAACTCCTGTACTGCTCCCACTTTTCAAGAATTATGTCTTCCCGTGTTGACTCACCAGATGACCTCGGAACATGTAAAAATTTAAAAGACAAGGCTGTTTTCTCGTTGCCATTTATTCAGGCATGTGTCTTCTCTCGCTGAATACATCCTTACCTTCTAACCTAGGGTACACCTATAAGACGTTTGAGTCTTTCGTATAATGGAAGAAGGTCGGTCTAATATGAGTGTCATGGCCATTGTTGTGCAAGGTTAAGGTATTTTCTTAGAGTATCTTTATGTGTAAGCGGGAGAGAAGATAGAAAAAAAATTAGAGATTAAGATTAAATGAGCGGCGGCGGGAGGATGAACAAGAGGGAAAGAGTGACAGACGAAAGAGCGAGAAAAAGAGAGAGAGAATAAATGGGAGCGAAAATAGAAAGAGTAAAAGTGATGGAGAAAGTGAGAGAGTAAGCGTAAATAAGGGGGGAAGAAGAAAGAATGAACACGGCAGAGAAGAAATAGAGCATAATAGAGATAGCAATAGAGGGAAAGAGAGGGGAATGAAGATAGAAATAGTGGGAAGAATAGGGAGAGAGAATGAATGAATGAGTGATAGAGGGATAAATAAATTGATTGATTGAAAAAGATAGATTTAGATTGATACATAGATAAGTAGATAGAATGACAGATAGAAAGAGAGAAAGAGAGAGAGAGAGAGAGAGAGAGAGAGAGAGAGAGAGAGAGAGAGAAAGAGAGAGAGAGATGGATAGATAGTAATAGATAGATAAAATATATGAGTTGTGGAGGGAGGGAGAGAGAAGAGAGAAAGAGAAAGTGAGAGAGCGGGCGAGTGGATAAAATTGGAGGAGAAAGAAAGTGATAAGGAGAGAAAGAGGAAAACACAGTGAGAGAGGAGAGAGCGGGCGAGTTGACAAGAGTGGAGGAGAAAGAAAGAGAGTGAGATACGAAAAGAAAAAGAGAGGAAGAGCAAGCTAAAAAGAAAAAGAGAGAGAAAGAAAAAGAGAAATGTAAAAAAGAAATATATATATATAGAGAGCTATATAGGGAGAGCTATAAAGAAAAAGTGAAAGAGAGAGAGAGATAAAGAGAGAGCTGTAAAAAAAGAGAATGAGAGAGAGAGAGTGAGTGAGAGAGAGATAAAGAGAGAGCTATAAAGAAAGAAAGAAAGAGAGAGAGAGAGTGAGAGAGAAAGAGAGAGAGAGAGAGAGAGAGAGAGAGAGTGAGAGGGTGATGGATAGATCGTAATAGATAGATAAAGTAAATGAGTTGTGAAGGGAGGGAGAGAAAAGAGAGAAAGAGAAAATGAGAGAGCGGGCGCGTAGACAAGAGAGGAGGAGAAAGAAAGGGAGTGAGATACGAAAAGAAAAAGAGAGGAAGAGCAAGCTAAAAAGAAAAAAGAGAGAAAGAAAAAGAGAAATGTAAAAAAGAAATATATATATATAGAGAGCTATATAGGGAGAGCTATAAAGAAAAAGTGAAAGAGAGAGAGAGATAAAGGGAGAGCTATAAATAAAAAGAGAAAGAGAGAGAGAGAGAGATAAAGAGAGAGCTGTAAAAAAAGAGAATGAGAGAGAGAGAGTGAGTGAGTGAGAGAGAGATAAAGAGAGAGCTATAAAGAAAAGGAGGAGAAAGAAAGAGAAGGAGATAAGAAAAGAAAAAGAGAGAAAGAGCGAGCTAAAAAGAAAAAGAGAGAGAAAGAGAAATGTAAAAAAGAAAGAGAGGGAGGGAAAGAGAAATGTAAAAAGGAAAGTGAGAGAGAGAGAAAGAGAAAGCTATAGAGAAAAGGAGAAAGAGAAAGAGAGAGAAGAGAGAGTGAGAGAGAGAGTGTGAGTGAGAGGGAGAGAGTATATTGAATAAATGAATGTCGTTTGTCTTTTATTTAACTAATTTCGCAAATTTAGGTCGCGAATCCTTCTTACAGTTGACACGAAAATTTTGTGTGTGTGTCTGTATTTTAACAACGACAGTTATGTGAGAGATCCTTGTATTTTATAAAAATGAGATTTTTCATCGGCAATTAATTGATTTGTTATGATTGATTGCTACAATGTAAATAAGATACAATAAGTTTTATTAAATCCAAATTAAATTCAAGAAAGTAGTATTAGAATTAGCAAGAACTGTTGGAAAACTTCAATCAACGAAGGATTTCGGCAAGCCCGTGTTATAACGATCTGTTATGAGGAAGAAAATCCGCATAACTGGTTCCAGTAATCCCTGCTTGGATTGTACCGGATTAACCGGTGTCAACGGTTTGGTCGTTACAGTACGTCAAATTTTCTTCGTTAGCTTTTTGTTGTGAGTCTTTCCACAATTCGCTCCATCATTGGTGATTCATTTTAATTTCGGTTACGATCAGTAATGATCTCCCGGGTGAGATGACTGAGCACTCATTGACTTTTTTCCCGTAGGTTTTTGTCCAGAATTGAATAAATTATCATCTTATTTGAATCTAAAATTACCCGGTCGACGTAAATTGACACCAGTTTTTTTGTCTCGGCGATTGATTTGACGTTTTAGACGAACAATATTAATAAAAATGGCAACTTTCAAATCAAATCTGTTGGAGAAGGAAAGGTAAAAAGATTACTTACAATATTAAATATAAAACTTTTCCTGTTTTTGGTTATTGGCAACAGTATGCCAGATTTAAAGAATGACATTTATTGATATTGAAATGATGGCTTTTCCAGTATTTAAAGACTTCTTGATATGATATCAACATTTTATAGTTATCATAATAGCAATATTTTACGACAAGCAGATAGTCTAAGCAGAATTAAAGCATAGATAAAAAATTTACTCGGGGATATACACACAGGCTTACCTTCGGGTTTAGGTCAGAACCCTGCTGCATCAGAGAACCTATAGTGAACCAAAATGCGTTTCCGAGAGTAAAGTCGTTTTGCAGTACGCTGTCGAAGGAAATGAGAATGTGGTGTGACTCCTGTTCATCTTGAAGCTCTCTGGAGCAGGGACAAGCCGGCTTTGTCCACTCCCTCGGCGAGAACCTCGCCACGAGCCAAATCGTTAGGGAGACGAGGATGTAGGCTGCCCCCATCCAAATCCAAATCTCGACGGCGAGCGGGTTGAGGAAGGAAAACATGCGGTTCGGCATACGCTCACTCGTCTGATCGTAAACAATCACAGGTAAATGATTTATTTAAATAAACCCTGTAATATCACTGTTGAGTTTGAAGGTGTAGGACTAAAATAAAATCCCTCATAAGGAAATATTGACCGTATATCAACTGATTTTTTTTATAAACCTAATGTCTCTTTGATATAAAAAATCGACAAGATTCTAGGCAGCTGTTATGAGCGACCATCACAGTTGGACCTACATCTGAAGAAATGATAGAGCGGACCACCTGAAAATGGCTCGGAAATTCCGTTTACTGGCCTCCTCTGACCTGCCATATTTCATACCTTAAGCATTGCTTGGGATAAAGCGATAAAAACCCGGAGAATCCCGTCGGCTATGTTCTATCTCCGGGGGTAAACGCTAGATTTTTATTTTTATTCATGGATCCTTACAGGGACTCTTAGGAGACAGTTATACCTTATGGATATTGCCACTCATATTTGATGTGCACGAGAAACGAAAATGTTGAACAGTACGACGGTTTTTAACAGATTCCGACCAGAGCAAAGTCGCACGGGAAATTGGCTCATAAAAAATAATGCTTGATTTTTCAGTATGTTCCAGTAAAATAAAATATAAAAACTTTTACAACAAGCAGCAACAAATTTCAAATGTTATACTAGAAATATTACTTCTTTTTTATCAACGTGCCAGTGTTCAGTGTATTTTAACATCGTTTTTACATCTTCGCAATCCGCACTAAAAAATTACATAATCTTTGCTTTAAGTTATTGTTTGAATTATTGATTTACTTGAAATTTTCTCTAAAAATGAACACTCAATCATATTGGAAAATGCATTAAGCATTAACTAGAAATCCAGAAGAACACTTCTTAGCTTGAAAATAACATGCCCCAAATAACCAGGTGGCCAAAACTTGCGAAACGATACTTTCGGACAGTTACGTGGAGGATATAACCATTGCTCGTTAACGAAGTTGTTAACTTGGTCTACTTAACCTTCTTGACAGCAATTATGCATTGTTTAATGTGTTTTCATAAAACTATAATTATATATTATTAATAAAACGATGAATTAACTATTAGACAGCGTGCTTTCTTCTTGGTTGATTATACTATACTTAAAAAAATTGGAAATTCCGTTTTATTAATTTATTACATAAACATTTTGATAAAAATTAGGCCAGCCGTGGCTTTCATATTTCTCTCGTTCTAGTGCGTTTCGAAAGCACTGGTAAAAGATCTATTTTTTCAAAACGTTGGATGATATAAGCTCAATTCCGCACATGTACATAGGTATGTTTTGACATAATTACTCGGCAAGCTGCGAGAGACACCTTTTTGGTGTTTTGGCAGTACGGATAAATTTTCGGTTTTATCATATACTTTTAAATAAATTCTCTCAATGTACATTGCCTTTTCCATATACTTTACAACTATTGAAATTGATGGTCGATGAGGTACTCAACATTCACTACACATTCCCGCTAATAAATTCATTCACTCTCAAAATGCACGATGGTAAACATAAAAATAATTAATCAACTTTTCCTAGTTTTAATTAATTATAATTGTGATAAATGATTAGAGAAACATATCATAGTCACATAGCCTCGCGGAAAAATCATGGAATCAAGGATATGTAACCTCGCCCGTCCCTCACACTGACCTTAACAGCCTAACCTGTTCTAACACGTCCTTAACGATTTCACTAAAGCTGACCTATCCTAACCCGTATCTATCACTAACCCTACCTAAAATAACCCGTCCATAACACTAACTGAACTTAAACCTTCCCTAACATTAACACCAACATAACCTGACCCGTATTTAACCCTACCCCCTCGGTTTCTACTAGATTTCGTATTTTTAGTATGAAGTAGTATAGTAGTCTGTATATATATATATATATATGTATATATATATATATATATATATATATATACATAGTCTGTATATATATGTATATAATACACCATGTATATAATATATATACATATACTTATCCGTCTCTCCAACGAAATTAGGTTCCAGGGAACCTCTAAAACGGCAGGCTATTTGATACCTGATTAAATGATGTTTTTAAACCTACACACACATTCTCATTTTTTTTTAATCGATTCTTTTTTATTATAATAGTTTATAATCGCATTTACATACAGAAAAAATTATGGTGGATCTGTGATTTGAACTTATGACAAATCTAAATCTCAAATCATCCCGATGTCATTTTTTTCTATCATTTACATATAGAAAAAATGATGGTGGACCTGTGATTTAAACATCTGACAAATCTAAATCTCAAATCATCCCGATTCCAGTTTTTCTATATTTATTTTTCAAATTAATGTACAAATTAGAGCATAATGATGGGGTATAAGGAATTTATTCTGATGGAAAAAAACTCAATTTTAATTTGAAAGCAGCATTCCTTCTAGAAAGGGTGGGAGTTTTTTTTTTCAATAGCGAGAAATTATATTTCTCACTGGGTGGCGGATTGTGGGAAGCTCATAAGATGAGTTAATAACGCGAGGAGCACAATTGGAAGTAAATAAATTTTGAGATATGAGCCCGGCTTCGAACCAATTGCCTTTTGCTTTTTCCAATCTTGACCCTGCGGAAGAAGCATGGATTCACGACTTTACAGTTATTTTTTCTCTCCCCCTCTGCAAGATAAAATGTCGTCGAGAAAACCTTTATCAAATTTTCTCTCATTTCAGTGGGCTATAAATATTATACTGGGAAAATAAATTAAAATAAGTAATATTAATTATACAGCTTTTACAATAAAAGTTCAAATAATTTCACCAAGGCATAGCAAACAGAAAAAATTCGTTATTTATTTAATGATTTTTCAGACATCATAAATATAATACTTTTAAACTTGAGGCACTAAAATTATTTTATTTTTATCAATACAGTGAACATTGATTTTTAAATTTATACAATAGATTAAAATAAAAAAAAAACAATTTTTTTCTTTATGGTTTTTATAAAAGGAGGCGGTTATATCTCTCTTTTCACAGGACTAGTACGGCTTAAAATACGATATGCTTTTGGGGCTGATGAGGCTAGGTGCTTCGTTAAAACATGGTACTTTATAAAGCTTGTAAATGAAGTAAGATTTTCCTAACTTCATTAATGCGCCGTTGAATGATAAACAGCTCAACCTAATGTCGGCGGAGAGTTTTCGAAACTAATTATAAACGTGGAAAAACAAAATATTGTTTTACAAATTCAAAGAATATTCTTTTTAATCTAGTTGTTGAGAAAACAATTTTTTTAGGGGGATTTCGTTAAAGAAGACATTGATTTGATTTCAATGAAAGTTTTTGTGTAGTTGTTCTTGGGTGTTGGTCTGAGAGTCGGTGAATTCATGCTGTATGTTTTTCTCTTGATGGTGCAAGGCGAATTTGAGTAGTTCAACATACCCACGAGTGAAGATGGACCCAATAAGTGACCCAATGCCGGTTCAGTATGATAGCTTTTTTATTAATATTTTTATTTTACTTTTTATTTTTTGTTTGTTTGACAGGGGCATCCAACAGCATGGTCATTTCAGCCCCGAGCATATGCGAAATATGGCAACACACATTCAATACGCATTCACACAAATAAATACATTCACACCTATACATTTCATTCATTTTATTAGGTGGATGGAGTACTGAATATTCCACCAATCCGATTGGGGTTGATGGGGTAGTTTTTTTATATATTCCGCCTTCGACCCAAGTCACGTATACAGCTCGAGGGGCGATGGGGATGCTATTCCACCATCAGCCCTCCCCATTCACTCTAATAAATACACTTACTCATACAAAACACTGAAACACAAAACACAATTTTGACGGCTATGTGCAATATAAAATTCCCAGTTCCCCTAAAAAGCGAAACAGGGGACCCTGAAACTCGCTACCGTTCTAGAACCATTCTTGAATCCGGCGTCTTGCCTTCACGCTCTCTGTATGGAGCCAAGGCATGACACGCCTCTATTATGCGGGACACTTCGAGCAACCTTTCTCTGCAGGGGCATCTGCGCGTGCTTTGGCCCAAAAGCAGGTGCCGTGTGTCAATCGCGTATGGCCAATCCTGAATCTGGTGAGGACTGCTCAGGTTTTTTGAGGGTCGTCCAACGGTCGTGCTCTTGACTCGCAAGAGCTAATATTTTTATTATTTCACTGAAGGGTAAATGAAAGGCAGAGGTTTTGCGAATTTGTCAGTGAATGCAGTGTGCTATTGGGGCTTACAACTTTCCTTATATCAATGGAAGATAAACTTGATTACTGTATCACATTTGCTTTTTTTATTTCATAATATAAAAGAAACAATGAGACAGTTTGTTGAATTAAGAAGTCTTTACAACAAAGTTTTTTGTGCTGTTTGTTATAACATTTATGTAATTGGAAGAAACACTTTTAAACAATAATTTACTTACGGCTTATTTTTAAAATTTTGGTATATAGTCCAACGCCGAGAAGGTGAATAGAATTTTGAAAAAGTACAAGGGAAATGGTTCATGCGTCTTATTCGACAAAAAGTGCAGATAAAAATGACACGAACATGCTAAGTCACAACATCAATTTTGGGAACATTCATGCTACTACATGCGGAAACGTGCCTCGTCTACTTGTCATGATTCGGATACCTTGGGGTTGAGCCCGGATCCCTGTCTCAGAAAGGTTCCCGTGATGAACCAGAAACTGTTGGAGACCGAGAACTGGTTCTCAACGACGTGGGCTTCTGGGGAGCACGGGTGAGGGTTGTTCCACTCGTATGGGGAGAACCTCGCCATCACGAACAGTGTGAAGCTGACGAGGAGGTACGCGGCCAGTACGTAAAGCCAGATCTCTACAGCCAGAGGATTCATGAAGGAGAAGAGGCGAGTTGGCTGCGAACTTGGAACCTGCACCAAATTTCCATCAATCATTCTCTCGCAATTCGTAACAGATAAAAAAAACTAAATTATAAACGGGTTATAATTACACTACCCAAAATATTCACTTTAACAAAGAAAAATTGCTG